TCTCTCTGTGTGTGTGTGTGTGTGTGTGTGTGTGTGTGCGTGTGTGTGTGTGTGTGTGTGTGTGTGTGTGCATTTGTTTGTGTGAAGTGCAATGTGCATGTGTCGCCCGTACCTTGAGGTCGTAGGCCGTTTGCACCAGCAGACCCTTGTGGAATTTTGCAGAAACTTTGAGCCCGTTACTTTTGTTTCCACTCTCTGACAGATCAAGAGATCTTGAATCGCCTCTGCACCTCCCTATGGCTTCAGAGAGCTTTACACCTGCTCCAGCAGGAACATTAGGTGCCATCTCCACCAACCTTAATCAGCTCAGTACGTGCTGCAAGCCCCTGACTTTCACCTCCCCCTTGACGAAGAATGAACAAAAAAGAGCGTTTTCTTCGAGACGAACGAAACTGTTAAAGCTCTTGCTTCCACAAACGGATTACTTTTTTCGGTTGTGGACGCAAAGCTCTCTGAAAAGTTGGTGAACAAAAGAGAAATGTGTGACGAATTATAGAGATGCCTTCTCTGATCCTCGCCGTCCAACGAGTGAATGGCTATCTGTTGCTGCAATAATTGAGCTGTGATCTGCGGAACAAGCACGGCAGAGAGAAACAATCAATCAGAATCCTGAGTACAGTGAGTAGTCTAAAAACATTTCGACAATGCAAAAAAAAAAAAAAAAAAAAAAAAAAAAAAACTTGATGATTATGAGGCTAACATGAAATATTTCAATGACCGGGAAAGTGGCGGAACCAATCATTGGTAAGTGATTACATTTAGGTGATTTAACAGCATGTCGGGAGAAAAAAAAAAGAAAAAAGAAGTAAGAGCGGAAAACAGATAGGATTACAAGGAGGCAGTTTTGGGGTGAAAAATCCAAAAAAATAACAATGATAATGATTCCAATAAAGTCGGTCTGTACCGTCCGGTGGAAGTCCGCCGAGGTCGGGATTCGGAGAAAAAAAACGGACCAGATGCATCTGGATAACCCAACAACAGCCACACGTCAGGAACCGCATGTAATACTTTGTTGGAGGTTACCCTTGCTCACCTGAATAGAACGCCTGGTCGTTATCCTTGCATCTGGATTCCGGACTCTCAGTCCGCACATAGACCAGATGACGGACCCACCATCTGCCACACTATCCTTCCATGCATGGACCAGATGACAACCACGCACGAATGGGCCTAGCTTGGTTGGTATGGTACACCCATGAACTCTTGAGATACAGACCCAAGTTCAAATCCAGGTACAATCAGATGAACAGAATAATTACCTTGGTGCAGTCATGGTATCTCAAGGCCGTCGCCCTTTTAAAAAAGAGAAAGAGAAGGAAAAGATGACGCCCACACTTCACAGCACAGGTGAGGTGAGGTGAGGTGCGGTGAGGTGAGGTGTAACTCGAACACCGTATCTGGCAATCAACTCAAGGACAAAGAATTGTATTTACAGTGTTCACGCAAGAAGGTCCGGCTATGGTGGCCTGCATGAGCTCTCAGATATGGTGGCTCTCTCCCTCCGCCTTACTTCTTTCTTCCTCACCAAGGTCTCTCTCCCTCTGATTACCTCTCAACTTCGCATCTGACAGGCAACTCAAGTAAACAGAACTGTCGGTACACAACGAAGGTGCGGCTATGGCAGCCGGCATGCTCTCTCAGATATGGTGGTTCTCTCCCTCGGCCTTACTTCTCTCTTCAGTAGGTCAGTGTGTCCGGGTAGGTCTACGTGGTGAGGAGTGGGACCCCTGTCGTGCACCAACACCACGATGGATGACTATCCGATGTATGGGCTACTTGCGGGGTTCTCCCTCTGGGGGACCCTCTGGCGTCTCCTCTTTCCTCTGGGCTTTTGGCCCACTCTCACGTGTAGAGTAGGGCCCACTCGCGGTGGGACTTCCACCACCCCCTACACGAAAGAGGAGGAGGAGAAGATGGCCGCCATTCTGCAGGAGAAGAAGGAGAAGAAGGAGGCCAAGAAGAAGGCCTTGAAGGAGGAGCAGGCGGCCAAATTGCAGAAGATAGAGGAAGAAATGGCCAAAGAAAAAGAGAGGTTGAAAAAGGAAGAAGAAGAGAAGCTGAAGGAGGTGGATGAAGAAGAGGAAGGACCGCCACTGCAAAGGAGTAGTGGGCAGCCCAGTAKTAATACCGGTGGAGACCTAGAGAAGAGGATATCTGAATGGGTTGCCAACCTGACTGTGGGAGAAGAGGAAGAGGTTAGTATGTACATCCCGCAGGATCAGCAAGAAGCCGYCATGAAGGCTTGGGAGGCAGAGAAAGACCCTATGAAACGTCAAGCGTTGGAAGACGAGAAGARGATGGAATGGAAATTAGCGGTGATG